CAGATTATACATTATATTAGTTTTTCCTGAACCGCTGGGACCAACTAGTATAGCACGTATAGTATCGGGTAATAATGAACCGTGTCTTGATGGTTTTTTTACTACCTGAACATCTACATTTATAACATCCAATTTATCTTTCTGTTCGATAAAATCCATATTATTTTCTTATAAATACTCTAGAATTTCCAATTTATAATCAGTTATCGATGACGCGTTCGACTCGTAAGTGCAAGTCAGTCAAGACTGGAAAAGGATTTGTAAACTCTCTTATAAATAGTCTCCCGTTCGAAGCCCATGTTTCAGGCTATCAGTATTGCGGTCCTGGTACGAAATTAAAAAAAAGGTTAGATCGTGGTGATAAAGGAATAAACCCGTTGGATGCTGCTTGTCGTGATCACGATATTGTTTATGCAACGAGTAAAAATTTAGACGATAGACATAGAGCTGATAAAGTGTTAGAAAATCGTGCTTGGGAAAGATTTAAAGCAAAAGATACTCCTAGAAAAGAGAAATTTGTTGCGTACGCAGTAACAAACGCAATGAAAGCTAAAAGAAAAATAGGTATGGGCTGTAAACGGAAACGTGCTATAAAAACAAATGGTATACTAGCAGCGAAGAAAAAAAGAATCTCGAAGAAAAAGAATGGTGGTAAAAGGTTGGTTTTAGCACCGAGACAGTCAGGAGGTGTAATTCCCTTAATACCTATATTTGCAGGATTGTCGGCACTTGGTAGTTTGATGTCTGGAGGTGCTAGTGTGTATAATGCGGTTCAAAATTCAAAAAGAAAAAAAGGCAGTGGTTTGAAATCAGACAAGAATAGGTTAAGAAAAAAAAACTGATGATCACGCTACCTGACAGACCGCTTTCATCTCAAGATATTATAAAATATGTCGGAAAGTTGAAAATCAATCATTTCCGTGGAGTCTTTTCACGTGATAACTTGCCTAAAAAACCGCATGCGATTGAATGTGGTATATTAAACTTAGATATATCTTCAGGAGACGGAAGTCATTGGGTAGCGTTTTATAAAAATAAGGACAAAGTAGTATATTTTGATAGCTTTGGTGATTTGTCACCACCAATTGAATTACAACATTATTTTAGGCAGTTCAAAATAGTATACAACTATTCTAACTATCAAGATTTCAATACATTCAACTGCGGCCATTTATGCCTTGAATTTTTACAATGTATGAATCTGTTACACTAAGTTTGACTGGGAATACAACTATATTATCTACAAATTATTTTCCGACTCTAAACGTTTACGAGGATTCGGAAATAGCTTTGTTATGTTTAAAAACACTTAATTTATTTCCAAACATAAATTCAGCTAATAACCGACTGGAGATAGAAGTAATTCCTTCAACAAGTAATAGATTTATCCTAAAAACGTTTATATTTATTTTAGAAGAAGGATGTTATGAAATTGAAGATATTAACAACAAAATTTCGAAAGAGTTATTTAACTTTAACAATAAATGTAGAACACAGCTAACATTCAACGTATCTATTGATCCCATAGATTTTAGAACATACATTGAATGCAATGGGATACTAAAGTTAAATATTCCAAACAGTATAGCATCTGTTTTTGGATTTGAAAAGAGAACCTATAAACAAATAAACAAAGCTCTTCGATCGGGAAAAGCTGCTAATTTAAACACAATTAACTCTATAAAAGTAATGTGTAATATAGCACATGGGTCATTCGACAACCGACTTCAAAGTCATTCAATATATGAGTTTTTCCCTAGTGGGAGAACTGGATCGAAAGTAGTTCAGTCACCACTGAATTTGATATATTACAGATTAAACACAACAGACATTAATTCAATAACTATACAGTTAGTTGATCAAAACAATAATCCCATCGATAACTTTAATGAGACATTGACAGTTGTTCTACATATTAAACGTCACGAGTCATATTATTAAATTTATATCTCAGATATCAGGATGTACGAGTCAGTTACTTTAAGTTTAACCGGCAACACAACCATATTATCTACAAATTATTTTCCGTCTATAAACCTTTACGAAGACTCAGAAATAGCTTTGTTATGTTTGCAAACATTTAATACATTCCCGAATATCAACAAAGATAATAATAAATTTGCTATACAAGCAGTTGACCATAATAATAATAATACTGATCGTATGTGGTGTTATATTAAACTGGAAGAAGGATGTTATGAAATCAAAGATATTAAGCATCGAGTTATGGAACAAATAAATATTTATAATGAAAAATTCAAAACCAAGTTAACATTTGACATTTCGGTTGATTCTAACGACTTCAGATCATATATAAAATGTAATGGAATACTTCACTTTGAGGTTTTACATAGCATAGCACCTGTATTGGGTTTTGAAAAACGAGAATATAAGCCAGATTATGAAACTCATAGATCGGAAAAAGCTGTGAATTTTAACACAATTAATTCTATAAAAGTAATGTGTAATATAGCTCAAGGATCATTCAACAACCATCTTCAAAGTCATTCGATTTATGAGTTTTTCCCTAGTGAAACGTCAGGATCGAAAGTTGTACAGTCACCACCAAATTTAATATATTACAAATTGAATAAAACAAATATTGATACGATAACCGTTCAGTTAGTTGATCAAGATCATAATCCGATTGACAATTTTGGTGAGACATTGACAATTGTGTTACATATTAAACGTTACGGGTCTTGAGATGGGATTAAAATTCAATATAAACCCACTACTTCGGATCAGTACAACTAGTCATAAGACTAAAGTGCTACCAGCAACATCAAATAAAATAAAAAAATTGACGGTGAAGAATAAAAAAATTTTGCGAGCTCTGGGCTATCAATTAAAGCAGAATGCCTGAAAGTGATATTTTGGATATAACTTCGCAGTACGAGACGGATTCTAAAATTACGAAAATTGAATATCATTCCTACACACCGTATACTACATCATTTAATAATAATGATGAAATACGTATATCAATCCAGCAAACGGATGTTTATCCATATCTACACGAAAGCTTTATTTTTTTGGGGGGGACAATTACTGATGCTACCAAAGTGAAACTAACTAATAATGGTTACTCTTACCTCTTCGAACAAATACGATTGGAAATCAATGGGATAGAAGTAGATAGCACACGTGTTCTTGGAATCACTAGCTCGTTGAAAGGTTACTTATCCTGTACGCCAGATAACTACAATTGCTATGAAAATGCTGGCTGGAATTTTAAAAACTTAACGCAATCGGAAAATGACAAAGGTGAATTTAGTGCTTGCATTCCATTGAAATATTGGCTAGGTTTGTTTGAAGACTATAAAAGAATATTAGTGAATTCTAGATTGGAATTAATATTAACTCGAAGTCATAGTGATTTAAATGCTTTACAAGTTAAAAGTGGTGTTACTGTTACTGAAGGTAAAGTTACCTTAAATAAAATAGTCTGGAAGGTTCCACATATAACGGTCGACGATGAAGAAAGGCTAAAATTATTGAAACTTATAGAAAAAGAAAAAAGTCTATTTATCCCTTTTAGATCTTTTGAAACTTTTGAATATCCTGAACTCGGAACCACTAAAAAAGTTGTGTGGAATTTGAAAACTGCTTCAAAATTAGAAAAACCACGATTCATCATAATTGGATTACAGAAAGGACGCAAAAATGTGTTATCAAAAGATTGTAGTATATTCGATCATTGTAATCTAACAAACGTTAAAGTATTTCTGAACTCGATAGCTTATCCATACGATAATTTGAATTTAGATTTTTCGAAAAATAATTTCACCTTATTGTATAATATGTATACATCTTTTCAAGAATCGTACTATGAAAAAAGTATTCGTAACCCGATATTGAGTCCTTCTACTTTTGTAGCAAACGCACCAATTATAGTTATCGACACTTCAAAACAGAACGATTCAGCCACAGCCTCAGCAGTGGATGTTCAATTGGAAATTGAAGCTTCAGATTCGCTTACAGGTGTAACTGCTTATTGTTTATTAATTCATGATCGTATTGTAGAATATGTACCTTTTACTAGAGAAGTAAGAAAACTTGTGTAAATATATATAAGAATTAATTTTCAATAATAAAAAAATCTATTATTACATAACTTGTGTTCTGTATTTTAAATAATTATTTCATTTTAGTAATAAGGTCTGTTTGAGTGTGCAAACTCTTCATAATTTTTACACGGTAAAATTATTGTGTCCAAGGGGAACATCTTCCCTTGAACGGTGTGAAATTACCGTGTAAAAAGTGTGTAAATTCTTCATAATTTTTACACGGTAAAATTATTGTGTCCAAGGGGGACATCCTCCCTTGGACGTTGTGAAATTACCGTGGTGACACAAAAAAAAGACTGTGAACATACAAATCTATACTACTATAATTATAATCCGTATCGCGACCGGATAGATCTTATTATTATTGTTTTTGATCTCTGTATACACACGGTGCGCAGTGTGTGCACACACTTTTTCGTGTTGTTAATACGATATCTATCAGTGCAGTCAAAAGGGCTGACTTGACGTGGCTTACAATTATTTCATACTTACATTAGTTTATGATGTTACGGGATCGGCGTAATTTAGGCAAATTGTAATAAGAGTGGTCAATAAGTGGTCGACGTCGGCATAAACGTTCCTGGCAAAGGTGTATGCGGTCCGGTATCATTATTATTATTGTATCTTTTGATATATTATATCCGTTGATATATTGTAAATACGCAAGCTCCATTGATTCGGGAGGTTGAAGATCAATATTATTTCATTTATGACCGTTGATCCTCAGTCTGTCCAAACCGTTCGTACAAACCTCCATTTGCCAAAGAAAAAGTTACCGTCATTCAGTAGCGATATTCTACAGTGGCTAACCTTTCGAGATAAGTTCGTTGCGTTAGTCGATTCAGATCGTGACTTAACCCCCAATCGAAAAGTTCCATTTGTTAGCAGGTTGTCACCGACAGAGCTACCATAGTGGTTAACTCGTTGCAGATGACAGATATGAATTATCCAATTATTTGGAGAAAGTCAATTGATCAGTTCGATAATCCTAGTTTATCTGCCTCAACATTAGTAGACGGACTACTAAGTTTCCGCCCAATGGAATTTGAAAATGAAACCGTTCCGGGTTTATCAGCGTTCCTACATGTTTTTGACGAGAGCTTGCAATCATTGAAGATGTTTGAGATCAGAGACGTGTCTAGTTTTATCATGTTTGTATTAGCTAATAAAAACCTTCTACGTGGTACCCGGGAATTATTAGAAAAGAAGAACTCCAAAATATTTCCTGGTATTGAGGATTTGGTAAAGTTCATTCGATGTCGTATCAAAATCTTGGAAAATATAAAGCATATACCCAAAGATAAATCAATCGGAAAATTCAATGGCAAGTCCACTGGTAAGTTGATGATGGTGTCAACACAAGGCAACCCAAACATCAAATGTCTTGTCTGTAAGGCATCTCATGATATAAAAGTATGTTCAAAGTTTTTGTCTATGCAACTTTCCGCCGAAACGGTTCAAGATGATAACTAGTTTTCGTCGGTGTTTCAGCTATTTGAGTGATACTCATGTATCATCAGGTTGTACCATTGACGACATTTGTGCTACATGCAAGGGGTCACTCATAGTTTGTTACATTACTATCCAAATTATTTATCTATTTTATTATCATTATCAAAACACTTAACTTCAGAGACTAGTAAGCGTCGTGGTATATAGTATATCAACTCTAAGGAGATTTGATACTATAGTCAAACATCGCCAATCGCCATTGTCTTTATGTTTTACTATTCAATTTCTAATTATGCCAATAAAATCGCAGCCCCTTATTTTGTATTTATTTTAAATAGGTATGGTTTTTCTCAAACCACATAATACCTAACTTATAGCGACTAATAGCGTCTAACTTTTGTTGATGATTTGCTATCTTCTAGTACCAGCAAATTTGAAAAATAGATACCTACCTATTAATATTATTTATTTTTATAATAAAAGTCCCTCTAATCGAAAATATTAAATTAAGTTTTGTATAGTTTTTATTAATACCTAGTTAGATAGTTATTATTATTATATTTTATAGGTTACATTGGTAAGTATATTTTTTTTTACATTTTTTTTTGTTAAAATGTATTATTTAATTGTGTGTGAGATGTCAAGATTATATATTATAATATTTATTATTTCATCCATTATATCTTCAATGTCTAGTTGTAGACAAAAATAGACATTGAAGATAAGAAACATTACTACACAATATGTTGTTCGAAAATAGGATTAATTTTAGTATGAAAAGTTGTTTTCCAAAAATGTCACATTCAACATGAAATTTTCAATCGCTATTATTTATAATGTTTCTATATCAGAATAGAAGATAAGGTGGATTTCTTAAACCCAAAATGAAATATCCTTCAAATGTGAAGCACACGAAATTTAATAATAAGGGTATTTTTAAATATCCACTTCTAAATAGGTATGCACATAGTTAATATTTTTAATATAAACACATCGGAATTCATAAATTTGCATTAGCTGTAGAGAAAACCAATAGGAATCATTACATTGAACACAACTATAAATTTTGTTTGTGTCTTATTTTACCTATTATTAATAAATTTATTATATTATATATTTTTTTGCAGAAGCTATTAGTAAGTATAATGTTTGTTTATTGCCATATTTTTACTTTCAATTCTCCTGGAATGACCAGATGACAAATCTTAAATTGTTGTGTAGGTACAGTTTCGAAGCAGAAATGGAAAACGTTTTTAATTTTTTCGTTTTTATTTTATTGATTTAAAAAATATCGTTTTTGTTTAACGTTTTTGAACGTTTTTAAAAACGTTATTTTCCATATTGTTTTTGATTAACGTTTTTAAAAATGTTATTTTCTTATTGTTTCCAAAAAACGTTTTTGATAATTTTAATTTTAATTTTTTTATAATAGTAACGCTCAATATAGAAATTCATTTAAAAGTTAAAAATTAAAATTAATTAAGTATTCTTAATATTTAAATTTCAAATCAAAATTATAATTTATATAAAAATTAAAAATTAATTCAAATGATTATCTTCAGACAAGTTACAGAACAATGACTTGATTTGTTGACGCTTGGTCACACCATGATATTGTGAACTTAAAAATTAAAAATGTAGTACTTGTAAAAAGAAAATGGTCATTGAATTTTTTTTATTTGACTTTAAGTTGTACGGTTTCTGGCATTAATGTGTCGAGTCCTTCACTAGTCACTACACATAGGTTATGAAGCTATAGTTAGTATTACTTATGGAATCTAAAAGGATTGTTAACGCTAATTGTCTCAGATAAGACTAAAAATACATTATTAATTTTTAAAATTCATAAATAATTATTCACTGATTATATGCCTATAATCTATTTTACACTATTTCAATTAATTAAACATTATTATTTCAGAAACTGAAAGTACGTGTTATTTATTTAATCTTAATATTTAATTGGTAGAATCATTGATTACTAGAAATACTATAGTATTTATATTAATGGTAGAGTGTAGATCAGAGCAGTAGCGGATCTAAAGCTCATTTAAGGAGGGGGGGGGGGAATTGGTATCATAGAATTTCAATGTATATACACATTAGTCAATATACATCTGTTATATATATATAAAAAATTAAACCGTATAAAAATTCAATAGTCTTTTATTCAATATTAAATAAACAGATGTATTAATAATTTATTTGAGCAACAATTGTATGGTTCTTTTTTTACCAGCCGTAAATCTGTCAATGAACAATAAAAATAAAGTATTCAGCACTCAATATTAAAATTGAGTTCTTTACCATAGCCACAGTGAACAAAATATTTAATTTATTTTATAAAAATGAAGTGATAACAGATTTAATGGCAGGAAAAAAAGTCTCGGGGAAAAAAGTCCCGGGAAAAGTTCTCGTGGGGAAAAAAATCTTGGGGGTAAAAAGTCTGTTTTCTAAAGATAATATATAATAATTATGTAATCATATAATAGGTAACTACTAAATACAAAACAGATACATAAAACAAAAATAATAGCTAATAATTATAAAATTATAAAAAGATATCTCATCATTGAATAATATTATTAAAAAAAATATACATATCCATACCACTAAGTTAGATGCAGAATAGAAAAAAAATTAAGTTATTACATAAGTATAAAAATCCTGGTTGTATAAATTGTTATCACTGTAACTTTTAGAAATTATCTTAAAAGTTTTATGAACATTTTTGCCCCTAGACTATTTTTTCTTGAGACTTTTTTTCCATTCCCCAACAGATTTATACGGATTTAACAGATTATATTTTTAGATTCTGGCCAGACCTATATTATAATTGAAAATGTTTGTGATTTTTACCAAATTCATATAAATTTTAAATTTTAAAATTCTCAAAATAAATATTCACTATAGAGTTATAAGGGTTGTCCCTGCCTTGACAAACGAAGGTACGAATGACATGTAACATTCACAGCTTCTCATTTTTGCTTTATAATTATAAATGTATAACTTATGTTAATGTCTTTCTATAGAAAACAGTAAAACACATTTTAATTATACAGTTTAATGTTTAATTAGTATGTATAGATCACTTCAGAACAATATTATCATTCTATCTCGTTTTAGTAAGAGTGACAATACCTATTATTTGTTCTTGTTCACGAGTACTATAATTATAGTTGTCAAGTGTCCACATATCGTTTTGACCAGGGCGTAGTTTTAATTAATTTGTTTATATTATACACTTAGGTACTGCACAATATTTAATATGATTTAATAAAAGATTTTATTTTTCCCAAAATCTAGAGATTTTACTTTATTCACGATAATATATAAATATGCCTGTAAATTATAATCTAATATTAAACATTATTATTTACAGTTAATGATGGTACGTGTTATTCATTTATTTTTAATGTATATAATAGATAGGTAGATGGGGATGAAGTACCTACCTATCGGGGTTTTTTATTTATTTATTGCCAACATCTTAAAAATGTAGCTCTCCTCACATTTGTAAATTTATCGTTATCATGTATGAACCCAGTAAATGTTAGAAACTTAGAAAACTAACTGGTTAGACACTTTAAACAAAATTAGTTGCCAAATTATAAAAATAAATTTCTACTGAATATTTTTAACTCTTAATAGTGCATAAATCATAATGAACCTTAAGTTTTATAAATATTATATTAGTAACAATAACATTTTAATCATTTATTTTTTTAGATTGGTGTAGTACGTAAACATTATGTTGTTTTAAATGAATAAGTAGTTTTATAATTTTATTTGTTTGAAATATTAAATTTTTATTAACTAATTGTAAGGTTCTAGATAGATTTTTTTTATAGTTCTTTTTATATATTGTATATATTGTAACGTTAGTTTACATTACAAACACATTTCAAGTCATACTAGAACGGTCTTTTTAAAGGCTACGAAGAGACTAACATACGAACAAAAATCTGGTAGAACTATTCGATGACATGAATAATAATTATTGAGATAACGTGTTAAAGCTGCCGTTTTCATTTGCCTCAATGTGAAACTCAATGTGAAACTAACCAATGGCGACAACCAATGGCGTGTAAAATCAGTTGTGATTTACAGAGAGAGATCTTGTCAAACCACATAAAATACATAGGAGTCACACAGAATGATTACTCAAAATTTTCTATATGCAATTTTATATTTTTTAAGTTTCCACCTTTGTATGACTTAAAGAAATATTATAAATGTACTAGGAGTGGGGGGGGGGGGCTCCCGCTAGAAACATTGAAGATTTTTTATCTAAGTTAATAATTAATATTTTAAAGTATCAATACTTTTGAAATAAATAAATAATTATAAATATTATAAATAAAAGCGCCCGACACTGATAATTCAATTTTTAGAGGGAGAGTTCTAAAAACATGGCACCTGTTACGTTTTTTTTAAAACCTGTCACAAATGTATTCATACAAATTTTTATAGGTCTTAGCATTGAAAACTATGGCTATTATCATTTTGTGGAGTGGATACGGTTGGTTGAGGAACATGTGTGTGTAGGGAGAGGGATTCATCTCTAAAAACTCGGGTAGTCACCCATCCAAATGACGGAATGACCTAGTCACATTAGTGACTTCCACCAACCACTGCATCACACCAGGCCCCTATAAATATTTTATTAATGTAATTACATTGTCAGAATATAATATATGGTTATTAGTCTGGACCAAAAGCCTCACCGGATATTATTTCAAAAGGTCAACAGGTTTCTTTTGCACACGAGTTGAGAATTTAGTGAATTAGAAATTAGTCATTCAAAATCAGAGTTTACAAAAAGAAGAGTGATAGTACAGTTTGAGGTCTTAAATTGGTTCCATGAGAAATTTTATATTTTATCTTTTGGTTCCAAGCCTACTTAATGACTAATGCTTTATACTTGGATGACTTAAAAGTCCATATGCATATTGTACTATAGTATATTTCATTATACATAATACATAATATATAGAATGCCGGAAAAAAATCCCCAGACT